TCTCTCTCTCTCTCTCTCTCTCTCTCTCTCTCTCTCTCTCTCTCTCTCTCTCCCTCTCTGACAAATAAACCTTTAAAAAAATGAAAACTAATCACAGAACCACATCAAGCTTTTCAAACTGAAAAATAGAATAACTAAAGTTAAAAACTCAGTGTTTACACACAACCGAAGACAGAACTTCATCCACTTCTGAAGTGCAGAAGCACACCTTTGAAGGGAGAGACCAGATGCTACAGAGTACCTGCTGTAGACTTCCATGTCTATACAGTTCAAACCCAGGAAAATTAAACTATGGTGTTAGTTGCCAGAGTATGTGGGAGAAGGCAGAGAGTAATGTTCAGGGAGAGTGCAAGAGGGGACTTCTGTGGTGCTGGAGAGTTTATTCTTTCGTCTGAGTGATGGTTGCACATGTGGGTTCACCGTATGGTTCCCACTGAACTATATGTTTGTGACTTTGTACTAACCCCAGAAAATGGTTCAAGTGTTCTCTGAGTAATAGACACAAGGCTTAAGACTAAGCTGGTGACCTGAGAGAGGTCAAGGAATCTTTCCTAATGTAGAAATAAAGAGACAGCAGTGGGCAGGATGGGTGCTGATGCCGCCAGCCTTGGACACAAAATGTGGCAGCAGGACATCCAATTGAATTCTTCTACTCACCAACCACCAGTCGGCATGAAGGAAAGGAGGGCACTCCTGTGGATGTGAAGACTCAGAAAATATCCACACTCCCCCTTGCTCACTAGGGCAGTGCTCCCATGAAACACAAAGAGAGCACAGAAACAGGGGTCTGCTCCCTTCCCCTCTTGTGCACTGCAAGGCCTTTCCTGAAACCGACCCTTTCATCCACAGAAAACCTAGCACAATACCTACTATCCAATGGCACAGCAACTCTGCAAGAAAGTGGACATTTTAATCCTTCTAAAAATGAAGACCTGTCACTCAGTTTGAGTAACTTGCACAAATCACCTGTGTGACGATCTGCCACCCTACAACCTCCCACCCCTTGAAAAAGCCACATATTCTGGAACAAGAAATGGAGGAGAATGGAAGGAGAGAAAGAGCAGGTAGGTTGGGTGTCATGGGCTGGGCAGAGCTATGATGGGGTAACTGAGGTACCACAGCCCCAGCACCACTGCCACAGGAAGGGCTGTGGACCACAGAAATGGGCAGATCTGAGGCCCAAAGGGAAGTGGCCTGGCTGCCGCTCTGCACAGACGCATACCGTATCCTCTGAGGGCATTATCCATGATGGGGAACCTTCCTCTGCCTCCAAAGTTGACCGCCTGACCGCACAGGGCATCCTTCACAGCCTCGTGTCCATGTAGCACGATGATTGGATGGGGGCCCAGACGCAGTGAGTACACAGGACCATACTGTTCAGCCAGCTGGGGAGAGTGGCAAGGCACACCTGAACAACTGGCCCAGCTCCTGGACGCACAGGGGCAGTTAGAAGTGAAGACACTCCCTCCCAGAAGTCCCAGTGTCTAGCCAGCACCCTCCCTATCAGTGTGCCCCAGCCAAGACTCGGGGCTGCAGACAGGGGGCCACACTGACCTGGGGGCGGGGTGACAGGACCCTGTCTGTGCAGGACTCATACTCTGGCCTCTCGACCTCTTGAGCCTTTCCTTAATCCCTTCCTTTATTGGAGAGAACAAATTCTTACTAAGTATTCGACAAATACTAGGTGCTACACAGTGTCTCAGGACTGGGGAAAGGCAGGGCACGGCAGGAAATTTATCTTCTTTGATACATTCTAGTAGGCAAGACATAACGGTCAAGTCTAGAGTATGCTTGAGTGCAGACATGCCGATGGGAAACACCAGTAAGGCAGGGCGGAAGGCTGGGGGGTGGTCTCATTCTTGAGAGGTCACTAGGGAGGTTCTCCTTGGAAGGCAGCATTTTAACACCAAGAAAGGAGGGAATGCCAGCCAGACGGATATCTGTAGGAATAGCAGCTCCTGCAGGGGGATCACCAAAGCCCTGAGAATTGAGGGTGCCTGGGGTGGGAAAGAGTGGGAGGCCAGTGTCCGTGGTGGGTGACAAAGGGCAGGAGAGCGTGAGAGGCAGTGTGGGGGGTTAGGTGGTGGGAGGATGGGGATGGGGGAGTGGGAGGTCCAGGTCCCATGAGGCCTCTCCTGTGTGTCAGAGAGGGACACTGGCTGCTGAGGGCATGGGCCCTCCCCTCCAGGGTCTCCCTATGTGGAGTATGAACAGAATGGAAGGAGGGGCATCTGTGGGCAGGAAGCTATGTTGGATTGATCCAAGTACAGAGAGAAGGCCGGGTTCCTGATGTCTTTTCTAGGTAAAGTGAGGGGTTTGCTGGTGGCTGGGACATGGTGGGAGAGGGCAATCAGGATGACTCCTGGCCTCTGGTCTGAGCAGTGATGAGAACCACTCCTTCTAGACAGGGGAAGGCAGGGAGAGGTGGCAGGAGCACAGTCCATGTCTGTCAGTGTGAAGAGCCCATGAGCTTCATGGTGCAGGTGCTGAGGAGCTCTGGGCTGTTGGTATGGAAGCTGTAGGACATGCTCTCTGATAGTTAGGTTTTCTCAGAGAAATGGGAGTAGGAACAAAATGGGGGTGGGAGGGGATGCGGCTGGAGGTTTGAAGAAATAGGAGCAGCAGGAAAGAGTTCCCTAAGAGAGTGGGAGGAGGGAAGGAGGGGACATCCTGGGGCTGCAGTTTCATGAAGGGGCCCCAAGAGTTTAGGGACCCTTGAGTAGGGCCACCTGTGTCCTCCTGAGCCTGGCCTGGCAGAGGCACAGACTCCGGGCAGGGAGAGAGGGGAGCAGAGTTGATACCAGGGAGAGAAGCACATGACTGGTAGTAGAATCCCAGCCAGGCTGGGACACGAAGGTGCCCAGGTGGGCATTGGAAAAAGTGGAGCGCCCACAGCCGTCTCTCCATGAATGAGGATAAGGGATTCCATGAGGGCCCTGCAGAAGCTTCTAGACCACAAGGCAGTCAAGGACACGTCCACCCACCTCTCTCTCCCTCACTCAGGTCAGAATCCACCTCTGTCTGAGGATTCTGATCCCCCCTACACCCCTCATAACCCTTTCCAAGTGGAAGCCCTTGATCCTTGCATCTGGGTCTACAAGGTGTTGGACTGATCAAAGGGCAGGAATATGGAACCAACATGCTGACAGGTCTCACTGGAGTTGACCTTGAGATCCCACAGGTGCAGCTGGAAAGCCAGAGGGGTGCTGGGCACTTTGAATCATGATGATGGGGTGCAGTTTTGGCAATGACCACCCTGTGGATACACTCCTCACTCAACAGGTGCCCCGTATATTATGATCTTAGGTCAGTCAGACTCAAAGCTGAACAAAACAGAGTCCCCCACTCCTCCCTCCCACATCAGAGACTGTTAGAGGGGCCTTGGAGAGCCATCAGTCAAAAATGGAAACATTTTTGAGGGGTCACCACTCCTGGTCTCTTCAAGAGGATCAAATAAACAGAAAGTGGGATATTCTAGCACAACTGAAAGAAACGAACACACCCCCCACCCAATGTTAGCTGGGAAATCTGAGTAAAGCACTTATACCAACCCAGGGAGCAATTGGTCATACCTGAGGGGGTCTTACCCTGGAGAGAGAGGTGGGCAGGTCCCAAAGTTTCACCTGCAGGATATTCCCAATGATGGGAAGAGGAGGAGGACCAGGCGGGAGCAAAAGCCCATGAGTGCCTTCTCTTCTCCACACAAAGATGAACAGCAGGAAAGCCACACAAGCCACCAGGAAGGTGGGCAGACTGAGTAGAGCCATGTCACCGTGTATGCGCGTGGAGCTGGCACTGAGAATGTCAACCATCGTTGGTGCCTGCTGTTGAAGACAGTTTGTCATGATTGCAAATCAAGTGTACAGGAGACCCACATGCTCCCTTGAGCCTTGCTTAGAAATGTGATTGGTTTGGCATCTTTAAAGTCACTTCATTCAGACTCTACACTGTCCCCAACAGGGTTCCTCCTCGTCCCTTTGTTTTTCCCCCCACCTAGTCATCAGTTTGACTCTTCTCCCAGAAGAGAAAGAAAACCCAAAAGGGAAAATTTGGGTATCTCTTGGTGGCTGCCAGACTGAGTCCTGCTCCAGCAGACACAGCAGGCAGGTGGAAGAGGGTCTTTAACTGGATCCCCTGACCCCCGCTTCTTCCCAACCACATCCCACCTGATCTTCTCTATCTTGGGCGTTGGTGGTGCCTCCACCTGTGGCACCCTCTTCTCCCTTCCCACTGGGCCCCTACATCACCTCTGCCCGGTTCAGTCCATTTAGGACAGAGCAGTCAGAATCTCCTTTAAAGACAGAGATCAGGCCAGGTCATTCACTTGCTGAAAAACCCGCGATGGGTTCCCAGGTATTTACCTGAGGGTAAAACCCCAAAGCCTTAGAAAGACCTCCAAGAACCCCCCCCCCACAGCCTGCACCTTGCCATCCTGTCCTGTGGGACCTCCCAGCACTCAACTACCAAGAATGGTCCATGCAACGTGGGTGGCCTCCAGGGCAACTTCCCTGCCCTTTCCTCTGCTTGGGATGATGCCCATTCTGTATCTTCTGCAGACTCACCTGTACCTTCAGCCCCCAGCTTCTCCCTTATGCTCGCCACATCAATCTTGCCTTCTCTCATGTTTTAAGTGGTGATTGTACATTAACTTTGTCCACTGCGTTTGGACAGAGACCTTGGAATTCAGGACAGTGGGCTGGCATCCACTTCACTTTGGACCCTGGGATGGGGTCCAGCATCTCATGCCTCTACTGGGCAGGTGCATTTCACAACCCCCCTGGCATCCTCCATCTCTGGCACCTTCCATGGTTCCCTAACTCTTCCTCCTTTCCATCCCACAGTGGGCTGCTTCTTCATTTCAATTGGCATTTATTTGGTTATCAACAAGATTAAACAATTAGTATTTTTAGGTTTATGGGCCATTTGTAATATATGAACTGTTATTTGCCCATTTTTCTAATGAGATATTTACCTTATTGATTTTTCAAGATCTTTTTTTTTAATTTTATTATGCTATGTTAGTCACCATACAATACATCATTTGTTTTTGATGTGGTGGTCCACAATTCATTGTTTTTGTATAACACCCAGTGCTCCATGCAATACGTGCCCTCCTTAATACCCACCACCAGGCTAACCCATACCCCCTCCCCCTTCCCTCTAAAACCCTCAGTTTGTTTCTCAGAGTCCATCGTCTCTCATGGTTTGTCTCTCCCTCCGATTCCCCCCCTTCATTTTTCCCTTCCTTCTCCTAGTGTCCTCCGTGCTATTCCTTACGTTTCACAAATAAGTGAAACCATATGATGATTGACTTTCTCTGCTTGACTTATTCCACTTAGCATCATCTCCTCCAGTCCCATCCATGTTGATGTAAAAGTTGGGTATTCATCCTTTCTGACGGCTGAGTAATATTCCATTGTATATATGGACCACATCTTCTTTATCCATTCGTCTGTTGAAGGGCGTCTCGGCTCTTTCCACAGTTTGGCTATTGCGGACATTGCTGCTATGAACATTGGGGTTCAGGTGCCCCTTCTTTTCACTACATCTGTATCTTTGGGGTAAATACCCGGGAGTGCAATTGCTGGGTCATAGGGTAGCTCTATTTTTAATTTTTTGAGGCACTTCCACACTGTTTTCCAAAGTGGTTGTGCCAACTTGCATTCCCACCAACAGTGTAAGAGGGCTCCCCTTTCTCCACAACCTCTCCAACATTTGTTGTTTCTTGCCTTGTCAATTTTTGCCATTCTAACTGGTGTAAGGTGGTATCTCAATGTGGTTTTGATTTGAATTTCCCTGATGGCTAATGATGATGAATATTTTTTCATGTGTCTGTTAGCCATTTGTATGTCTTCTTTGGAGAAGTGTCTGTTCACGTCTTCTGCCCATTTTTTGACTTATTTGTTTTTTGGGTGTTGAGTTTGAGAAGTTCTTTATAGATCTTGGATACCAGCTCTTTGTCTGTAGTGTCATTTGCAAATATCTTCTCCCATACTGTGGGTTGCCTCTTTGTTTGTTGACTGTTTCCTTTGCTGTGCAGAAGCTTTTTATCTTGATGAAGTCCCAAAAGTTCATTTTTGCTTTTGTTTCACTAGCCTTTGGAAATGTATCTTGAAAGATTTTCAAGATCTTTATGATATAGTCAATTTTCAAAAAAGGCAATAACACCTTCATCTCTCCAAATAATGTGCACATTAAATTACTGGACATGTTCCCCAAATTATGTATCAGTTTGTCATATTTCCTGTCAGGATATTCAAGACAATGTTTTACATGAGAAATAATGACCATTTATTCCTTTTCTGGCATTTTAAATTAAAGTTCATTTTTTAAAAAGCTAAATCCTCATTTTAACTGGGGAAACAATGCAAAGATAAGTGAAGAAAGTTACTACCTTTCCCACCTCTCCTCCGGACTCACCCCTGCAAAGTCCCTAGGGTCAGCAGCCAGCCACACATTGCTCCTTTTGGCCACACGTATAGATGCATGGAGGTGGGGTGAGGGAGCCACTGCTGCTGGATTATAAAACACAGGGCCTTGCTAAGGCACCTGGGTGGCTCAGTCAGTGAAATGCCTGCCTTCAACTCCACTTGTGATCCCAGCATCCTGGGATCGAGCCCAGCATAGGGTTCCCTGCTTACTGGGGAGCCTGCCTCTCCCTCTGCCTCTGCCCTCCTCCTGCTCATGATCATGCTCTCTCTTAAATAAATAAAATCTTTATTTTTTTATTATTTTTTAAATTTTTCATTATGTTCAGTTAACCAAATATAGTACATCATAAGTTTTTGTTGTAGTGCTCAATGATTCATTAGTTGCTTATAACAAAATAACAAAAAATCTTTAAAACAAAAAACAGGGCCTTGCTGTTCCACTCCCCTACTTTCTTTTTTTTTTTTAGATTTTATTTATTTATTTGAGAGAGAGAGTATACACACAGAGGAAGAGGGAAAGTGAGAAGCAGAAGCAGACTCCCCACTGAGCAGGGAGCCCACTGTGGGTTTAGAGCCCAGTACCCTGAGATCATGACCTGAGCCAAAGACAGATGCTTAACCAGCTGAATCATCCAGGAACCCCTTGCCTACTTGTTTTTATTCCCTCACCAAATATTTCTTGGGCATTCTCTTTGATATCAATGAATGTAGATTCTGGTCATTCCTTTAAATGCTGCACAATATTCCATGGTGTGATACATGATAAAATAAAGGAAATTTTCAACTTCTAATGTTTATGGGCCCTGCTCCTGGGCTCCCAGGGAAGCCATACTTGAACATTTACCAAGGTCAGAATGACTGGGCAAAGTCTCACAACATGGCTCTATTTCTGCCCCAGCACACTTTGTACATCAGCTTTGTTTAAAATATAACCAAAAGGGGGCATTCCAAACACAAAGATAAACAAAAGGAAGAAAGCTCACTTGTTCCTGTAAGATTAAGGTTACACAGGTCCTTACACACCAGAAGCTAAAGATGAGGTCAGCAACTTTTTCTGAAATGCCCTTTGTCTGATGACTTGTAACTTTTTTTAAAAAAAATTTATTTATTTATTTTTTTTTTTTGACAGAGAGAGACGCAGCGAGAGAGGGAACACAAGCAGGGGGCGCGGGAGAGGGAGAAGCAGGCTTCCCGCTGAGCGGGGAGACCGATGTGGGGCTCGATCCCAGGACCCCGGGATCACGACCTGAGCCGAAGGCAGACGCCCAACGACTGAGCCACCCAGGCGCCCGAACTTGTAACTTTTTATGTAAACATATAACCCTGTACCAAATGTTCTTCCATGGAGCGTCCTCTTCTCTGTGAATATCATGTTCCCCAGGCAGCTGTCTTCACTTGGGCTCAAATAAAACTCTTCTTTTTAGAGATTCTAAAAGATTTGTTCATTTTTGTATCGACATATACCACACCCAATAAACTGTTCCCCCAAGAAGGTACGTTTGTGTTGTTTCCAGTTTTCTTGCTTGCTTTTTGCCCACAGTAAAGGACACTGTCTTGAGGATTCTCTCACATAATTTTCATTTCCTGTTGTTGCTATTTCTGTGGTTCCCAAACCCAGAATAATTGGGTCAAAGGGTCTGTATCATTTTCCTTGGAGGAGGTTCTGCCAGATTACTTTCAAGAAGGCTGGAGCAGCCCCCTCTCATCCACGCTCGTGTGTTCCCCACTTGCCCACCTTCCTGCCTCAGTGGGTCTCAGGGGATTGGCCTGGAGGAGAACCGTGCATCAGTCACTCCATTGCCCTGATCTGCATGTTCCCATTGACAAGTGTAAACATCTTCCATGTGCTCACTAGAATCAAGGTTGCAATTTCCAACCCTTGCACTCAAATCCAGGTGTGCTTTGTTCTTATTTCCACAGAACACGTTCCCAACCTGAGAATGCTGGTTCAGAAGGTTTATGTATCTTTAAAATATAATTAACTATTTAATTTCCTTATCTATTAATTACCTGTCCATTTTCCTTGTCCATCTTTCTCCTGGTTGTTTATCCTTTTTTTTTCCAAATTGTATGTGTTCTTCACATGTAAGGGGATTAAGTATTTGCTTATCATGTGAGTGTATATGCACAATCTTCCCTGTGTGGTTTCATTATGCTGGCTTTAATACAATCAGATATATCTATCTTTTTTAATGGCTTCTGCATTTTCTGTATTGCTTAGCACAGATTTGTTGGAATTGCTTTCTAGATTTTCTTCATGGATAGATAGATGAATAGATATTCTTTTAAAATATGCTTTCAACAGAGTTGCTCCAGCATCTTGTGAAGAAACTGCG